TATTTTATATGATTGCTTTTAAAAAGTTTACTAAATTCATGTTCAACTTGCTACATATTATTATAAATAGTAAACTTTGAAAAATATATTAAAACTGTAATCAATATTAAAGTTTAAAAAATAATTCATATTTCTCAATTTCCTTTTCCATATATTTTAATTTTTTAAAATTCATTTAACATGCATCATACTTTTTTTCAAAATATTATTGTCATGATAAATGAATATTAAAAATATATCTATTCTGCCATGTACAGTATTCAAACTTTGAATTTCAAAGCCAGTCAGTATTTAGGATTATCGAAATTTGGATACTTTTTCAATGATTTATTGTATATAAATCTATATTAGGGTCATACAAAAAAAGTACCAAATGTTCGGTAGCCCATAATTTTAATTCCCGGCATTCAATTCCCATAACAGGGCTATTTATATTTAAATTGCAGGCTACATATTTGATAAAACTGGTGACACAATATTAATGACTAGCACAATACAAGTATGAAAAAATATATCTATTTTTAAAAATATTAGTTTCAGTTTGTTACCATATACAAGCTAAATAATTTAATTATTAATTAAAATTATTAAATCCATAATGATGAAACTTTTAAAATTTAATTTATTCAACTTAATTTTAGTATCATTTAGTTCAGTATGACATGTATGGGCGCAAAACAGTCGGCGCCGTCATTTTCTCGTGACTTGCTAATAATGATATTGTTATTTCTTTTATATTATATATTTAAACAAATTTTATATAGGGGAGTATAGAAAAGTTGTTTCTGGCTATAATTTAAATATCTCTGGAATGGCTTAATATTTTCAAAAGCGGTTTGTTATATTGAATAGCCTAATAATGTGATGATTTTGGGCACAAAAAATAATTTTTTAATTTTAACAATTTCTACGAAATCTCGGGACCATCTCCGAGACACGTTTTCCAGTCACTTCCGGTGACCACATCCGGTAAGTGTGGTATGTGTCCGATAGAGGAAAAATAGATCTTTCATTTGAGCCCTCAATCGGTCCAATCGGTTGGGAAACACAAAAGTTGTGAAGAGTCAAAGTTCAGTAATCTAGGTAATAAATAAGTAATATTAAAGTAGTTTTAAATGAATCTATTTGATATTTTACAAAACCTATAACATGGCGACATCTGTCGGTGAAATAATGGGTCGAATAAACTCCCGACGCGTTTCTTATCAAATCCATGTTATGCCGACTAGAAACCCACGTGACTGTCAAAGCCCCGGTATGTTGGTGTGTGTTCTCGTTGCATGTGACCTAGGTGCCACTTCCCTATTAATAAATGAAAGTAGATAGTGTAATTAATTTATATTTATATTTAATATATTAAATAAATGAAAATAGGTTTTCGATTCTGGTGATAATTAATTGAATGACCAATGTAATAATTTTGAACATTATTCACATAATAATGAATTTGATGATGATGATTATATTAATGTTTTTATACTAAATGATTGAAATTGAAATATTAAAATGTTTTAAAACTATTATTGCTTGATTAAACTTACCGACAATATGTGTGGCATAATCATATTGTTTGAGATACTGGGGCCAGAGTTTGAAGTGTAGGGGTAGACCAATGGGCTGCGTGTCAAGGATTACGCAGTTTTGTAGTCCGGTGTGTATGGGGTGTACGCCAGTCAGGAGCGCACCCCTACTCGGACTACAGAGGCGTTGTGTGTAGTATTGGTTCAAAACGATGCCATCGGCCGCCAGTGTGTCGATGTTAGGGGTGAGCACGTGGTCCGAGTGGTAGCCCACGTCCGTCCAACCCATGTCGTCCGCCATGAATACGATTACGTTTGGGGGCGCCGACTGTTTTGCGCCCATACATGTCATACTGAACTGAATGATACTAAAATTAAGTTGAATAAATTAAATTTTAAAAGTTTCATCATTATGGATTTAATAATTTTAATTAATAATTAAATTATTTAGCTTGTATATGGTAACAAACTGAAACTAATATTTTTAAAAATAGATATATTTTTTCATACTTGTATTGTGCTAGTCATTAATATTGTGTCACCAGTTTTATCAAATATGTAGCCTGCAATTTAAATATAAATAGCCCTGTTATGGGAATTGAATGCCGGGAATTAAAATTATGGGCTACCGAACATTTGGTACTTTTTTTGTATGACCCTAATATAGATTTATATACAATAAATCATTGAAAAAGTATCCAAATTTCGATAATCCTAAATACTGACTGGCTTTGAAATTCAAAGTTTGAATACTGTACATGGCAGAATAGATATATTTTTAATATTCATTTATCATGACAATAATATTTTGAAAAAAAGTATGATGCATGTTAAATGAATTTTAAAAAATTAAAATATATGGAAAAGGAAATTGAGAAATATGAATTATTTTTTAAACTTTAATATTGATTACAGTTTTAATATATTTTTCAAAGTTTACTATTTATAATAATATGTAGCAAGTTGAACATGAATTTAGTAAACTTTTTAAAAGCAATCATATAAAATA